GGCAAAACTAGCCATGGTCAAAATGCTGCAACGATTCCGTTTTTATCGGGTGCCCGACACGGATGTGCCCCTCGTTTTCCTGAGGGGTTTCGACCGGATATATGCGAAGAGACTTGTGGTGGGCGTCACTAAACGCTAACAACAAATACATTTAATTGCTTTTACTTTACTGTAATTTTAATTTAGTTTTGTTCTCGCTCAATTATTTCTGAAATAAAATCCAAATAAAATTGGTCATGTTTATTTCTCTTACTAACATTATTATAATCATGTATATTTTAAAAACTGATCAGAATTCTCTCACAGTTAAGAATTATTATAACACATTTCCAGAATTACCAAAAGGCCTATTATGGGTATAAATAGGAAATTTTAAAATGTTATCTATAATTTTATGCAATTATTTTCAAAGATATCCATATTAAATACTAAATTTTAGTTTTAAAAATATTTATTAATAAATATTCAAATCAATACTAAATACTACAGAATAATACTAATAATTTCTATTGAAATACATATATTAATTAAAAGCGTTGAGAGTTACACAATAATTAATCGGCTTTAAGGGCACCGGTGGCTGGCTTTGGGCCCAAGCGTTGTCCGACGCCGGCGAACACATAGGCCGTCAGCGAACGGCCCAAACGGTCGAACGGCAGCGCAAACACCGCCGACACGACAATCATTATCGCGTAATTCAATGCAATCACTGCCCATATTATGGGATATCCATAGAGCGCACGACCGGACACATCGCCCACCACTGACCCGAACACTGTGTTTGACAAAAACCAGTGAAACAGGAACGACGAGTGTTGTGCTGTGCGGAAGGGTCGCCACCAACGGTGCGATAGCAGCCGACAGCACAGGTTATACTCGGCGGCCGTCACTATAGCCCAGGCGGCCATTAGTGCCCAATACACCGACGTGTAGGCCCTCTCGATAGCGACGTACGCCGGCAGCCATTGGCTGGAGAATAGGGCCGGAAGTCCGATGACATTCAGGGCGTAAGTCGAGGCCATTGTCGCCGATAACCAGATGATTATTTTAGGCCACAAACGGTATGCGCGTAAACGCAGGTAGTATTGGTTGTCGGCGAACATATACCCCATAAACATCCCGGTCATATAAGCGATACCATGCTCAAATGGTTTAATAAGCACCATGTTGTACAGTGATGGCGACCTTTAAACATTTAATATCTGATTAGCTCAAAGAATAAACCAGAATGGATTTTATATTGTAAATAAATGTCAGTAACTCGCATAAAAATATAATTATTGCTTTACTTGACAAGATCTGCAAAACGCAGATAACTTACAATTATGTAAGATGTATATGATTAAGAATTGTTGCAGAAATTAATTGTTTAATAATTTTTTTAAATATCTATAAAAGTGATTTTATGCTTACGTTCGGGACCAGCCATACAGTCCGAAAGTGAATCCGTTAACATACATAATGGACATACTTGTTACCAAGAACATTATAATACCAATGATTATAGCCATGATGCCAACTTTCCGATTACTGTCATTTTATAAGTATTTATAGTAAAATAATTATTTAAAAATTAATTAATATTTAATACAATGTCACAGTTTTAATATATTGAATACATTAAATTAACAAATAACAACTAATTTAGATTTATATAGTGTTGTTTTGCTTTGTTATGTGAGAGTTAAAAATTAAGTTGTATAATTTTTTATTTTTAACCACAATTTTTACATCAATAAAATGTAAAATCTGTTGAGAATTCTGCTTATTTTAAATTATAGCAACAATATTGCTGCATGGTAATTATTTTGATTTTATCTACATTAAATGTCACACAAATTATATTGTAAATATTTGTTTCCCATTTATAATTACTTACCGGAACATAATATACATGAATAAGGGTGTTATGAAGTATAATTGCATTGTTACACAGTGTGACCATGTTATTCTCATGCACTAAAAAGTGTTTAAACATTATTTATTTAAATGAACTAATATATAAAGTTAGTTTAAGTTAATGAAAGAAGTAAAATAAAAGCAATTAAAATATAACTTACCATGTCGTAATGCGGCAAATTGGCTATAAATAACGCGTTAAAACTCCATTGATCAGTGCATAATTTAACCATGTCAGTGTTGTAAAATTTAGCTGGGATAATATATTTTTCGTATACAATAGCAAAATATAAAGATAAATAATAAATGGGAACTATTCTCATAAGATTATCAAAATAATAGCGTATAGTAATTGATGTAAACGTTTTGCGCATTTTATTGTCGTATTGGCGGCGAAACCATTGGCCAGAGGATCGGCCCTCCAGTAGAAAAATCAAAGCCATTACAAACTTACACAAACAGTTGTAGAGTGCGAGTGCCCTGGAATAAGAACAATCATGGTCTATTAAGTATTATATAACCATAAAGGTAAAATTAAGTAATGTTAATTAAGTTGTAATTTTATTTGTGTTTTTGAATTAAATATTGTATATTAAAAAGTTTAAACATATGTTAAATATCAATAGTTACGAATGCCTCAAATAGTTAAATATAGTTAAATTAAACTTTCGGTAAACTTATCCCAAATATATAATCGGTTCTCATCCCGAGTCTGGGGGTAATACTATTAACCACTAAAAATAGTTGCTATATGTAAATGCAATTCTCTGAAAATTAATTAACACCTCTACTTGTAATCCTTTTTAATTTAATTTTAATGAATGAATGAATGAATGAGAGAGAGAGAGAGAGAGAGAGATAGAGAGAGAGAGAGAGAGTCACATACGTGTTGTTGGAATCTAGACCGGCATGTAAACAAAAATGACCATGGATGAGCCATATATGGCTCAACACTCGTATGCCTCCCATTATGTCTCCATTACCGCCAGTAGTGGTTGTGTTAACGCGAATCGATTGCCGATAGTTTGAAACCAAAGACAACGCGTTTAACAAATAGTTTTGTTGAATTCGTGAGCCGTCTTTGCCTTTACTTTTGGCGGTCAACCAATCGATGTATATGTGTTCACACGTGGCGTACATTACAAAAAATACCCATATTATTACTAGAATTGTAAAAATATACAAATCAATCATGATCGATTAATTACAATTAAATATTAAATTGTAATTTTTTAAAACAATTATAATCATATATTTTGAACACCTAAAATAAAATAATATTATACTTCTAGAAACTCCACTTATAAAAAAATTGTTATTGTAATTTGAGGTTTATCGAATTTTTATAGTAATGCAAAATCATTCGAGAAAGAATATAAATATCTCTCCCCTCTCTCTCTCTCAACATAGTTCTGCCATCAATTGAAACAATGAGTTTTAAAATTTTTAATTTGTAAAAAATAAATTTTATTGACATCAATTGCAACTGCAAGTGTCCCACTTGGTTTCTAAATTGTTTACATGTACATTTAATATTGCTATTGCGCGAATTCATTTTCAAACAATTGCTAAATTTATTTTATTTAAGAAGAAAAATTTACAATTTAGAAAGTTCTAGAATAATATTTATTAAATTTATTAAAAGTGGCACAATAGATGTATTTTTATCAAAAGCATATTAAATAACATAAAACAGCAAAACACAACAATATGTTAGAAATCCAATTGCTAACCAATTGACCATGGTTTGTTGTTGACTCCGTATGGGACAGTTGGCACTCATTGGGCGAGTAATCAAATTCCGGACAAATGGACCGCGAGTTGCCCTCAAGGCATAAATGCATCGATTTATAGTCCTTATCATTGCATTTCACCTGAATACATTTATTACATAAAATTACATTTATTAATACTAGCAATAACTAAGGATCCTAATTATATTAAATACCGTGTGATAATAATTAAGTTAGTCATTTAACTAAACAAAAATTCTAATATTAATAAATTATTTTTGAATGTAATAATAAATTTATTCAAATAATAATGTTATATGAATATGTAAATACATGATCGTGATCAAAATCAATATATTTAAAAAGCTAACCTTGGCCATTTCGTCCATACAATCAACCAAATCCCACGTTAAGCAACATCTGATCACAACTAGGGTGTCGTCAGTCTGCGGATCGTTCCCCGACATCAGGAAACTATAATATTCTCGCATATCGTCAACACAAGCTATGTTCTCGTAATGCAATGCATTCCCGCATTCTTTCGACACATTGGCCGTCAAATCGAGTTTAATTTGGTCCACAATACCGGCCGGCGTTAGTCTAGTAGTGGTGCCAACCCGTGTCGGGTGCTTAAAGTCCCGACACTCCACACCTTTGTATGGAATTTCTTTGCATTTAATGTTTGCTTTTTGGCTCGAGGTGAAATCAGCGACTAGTTTGTCCAGGTTTGTTTTGTCACAATTAGCCTTTATAATAGTTTACTTAATTAATCTTGTGCATGTAGTGATTAATTCAAAATTAATGATTAATAAGATTATTATAATTAGCTTATAATAATTGAGCAAGCAATAAAAACTAACTTGTACAGCATCATGATAACAATCGTATGTATCATAAGGCATGCAGCAATCATACATGAGATTGTCCTTGGTCTTATTGGTGGAAATCTTATCACGGTCAGCCATCACTTTCATCCAATCATTAACAACACCAGTGCTACAATGGTCTAGTTGTTTACTGATCTTGGACATACATTTGTCAGATATGGGAAGATCATTGATCAATCCCAAACTACAATCAATGAATGTTAATGTTATTATTATTGCACTTATAAATGTATACATGTTGATTTGTTTTAAATGTGAATTGGTAATAATTATTGTTTTATAATTGTTATCATTAATTTTTATATATTTTATTTAATAATATGTTTCAAACCTGTTGTTTTTCACATAGATTAATTTCATTTTTGACTACTTTGATTGGCAATAAATTAATAATATAATAATGATTTAAAATTCACTTGATTTTGCTTTAAATAGATAAGTATTGTGAATTAAAAGTAAAGTTTAAGATTGTCAAAATAAATTGTATTAAATACTGTACCTGTTTAAATTCATTTGTATTAAAATATTTTTTGTCATTGTTGAAAATCCATAAAAATTTAATTAATTAAATCTGTTATGAGACAATATAATCAACAATAAATTAATTATTAATTAAAGTAATTTATTTGTAATTTATCTGATTGAACGTAATCAATATTTATTATACAGTATAATATAAAAGTTACTTAATCAATTTAATTATTTGCATCTTTGTAATTAGAAATTAATAATTAAACAGTTGCTAGTTTCCCATATAATATAAAACAATAAAACATAGTAGACTAATTGTTTATTATATAATTGAATAAATATTTTACCATTATATAAATTACAATTTTCAATTTATAAACATAGCTTAATTAAATCAAACAATAAATATCTTTTCGCTTAATACAATTTTAATAGAAATATTAATAGTACATGGTATAACAAATTATGGCAATTCAATTAAAATTATTTAATTTAGTGAATGTACAAGGTAGTATAAATCAATAGTGGTTTTAAAGTGAGATATCGCTATTACAGATCATTATTGGTATAGGATTTTAAATAATATTTTTATCACAAAAACTAATTGAAAATAATTGTTATAATTTTCAAAAAATTCAAAATTAATTCATGATGATAAAAATAATTAAAACCGTACTTACGTCATAAAATTAAATAATTATAATAATATTAGTACTTATAAACGCTTAATAATTAATTAATTGGCAAAAATAGACTAGATAGCTTTTTAAAATGTCATTAAACATTAAAATCGGGGACAAATAATAATTATCATATAGTATTTCGATAACAATTTATCGTTAATTCTGT